TTCACTTCATTCATGAAATTTAAAAAAAAAAGGTGGTAAATTGATTGAAATCATAGTTGCTTATTTATAACACACCATTTTTACTTTCCAGTGAATAGAACAGATGTATCAGCTCCATGCTAGATAAAGAAAAATAAACTACATATTATTTATCTAAGTTCATTATTCTATGCAAGCTCCATATTTTCATCTTTTTTATTTCTTACAAAGAAAGTTGAAATTTGAATAAAATGTAAGTGTTGGAGTCTCAACAGAGTAAGACTAGTAACAAGATTATTCAATTATGTCAGAGTACTTGTGTTGTTAAGTATGTGATTTGCATATTCAAAATTTCTAAGCGTTTAAAATCTTTAAAAAGTGCACTTGAAGCCTCATTTTCCATCTAATATTTGCGAAATTGTAATGAATGAAGCAAAATTTATTTGCTTTTCAACTCAGATGTGCAACAAAAATTAATTCATTCTTCGTCTTTCGTTTATGGAATTGTTTCTAAATCATATCAAGTTTCACAGTTTGAAGCAGAATAAAATACAAATATATTCACTTTGTATTGAGCAATGAAGAGAGAATATAAAGTGAGGATAAAATATTTTTTCAAACAAATAGTCATTTGCAAAAATTAACAGATTTTAAAGAATGTTAACGATAAACTAAGTTGTTTGCATTAAAGCTAAAGATGTAATCCATGTAAATCTCGAAAATTCCAATTTTTTACACAGTCACACCACAAAATATTTAGCTAACAAAACTGCCCATTTAAGTCTTCCAAGGAGTAAAATAAATTCATTTCATACATGAACTACAAAATTTAGTTAATCAAATAAAACAGCCGTAAAGACCTAATAATAAAAAAAATTGTGCATTAAAAATGCACGGAGAGAGCATAAATAGAAGAACCATGTGTCACACATTGCTCTAGTGTGAATATATCATTAAGATATTCCAAGACAGAACTTGGCTCTTATTTTTATCCACAAAGCGTATTTGATTATTTTCATCTTAAAATTTTAAATGAGAAAAATAGAATGAAGCAGTTAAACTAATATTTGTCCATTTTTATTAGAAAAATTCATTGAGACAGATGAAGAAGCATTTCAAAATTCTTTCTGCTCGATTTTTATCATTCATTCTATCAAATTTTTTGCATCTTTTGTTTTGAAAATATTTTAAAACTGTTTTATAATTTCATTATGCCAAAACTTTTATTTTATGAACAATAACATAAAATCAAAAAAAGAAAAAAAAACAGATTAAAATTATCCTTACTACAGCTTAGTATGGAAAATAGATTTCTACTCATTTAGGAAAATAGGTTTCTACTCAAAATTGTTTCATTAACAAAATTTGAAATTTGAGAAAGCAATGTATGAAGCGGCCATAGTAAATATGAACCCTGTATATCAATTTTTTAAACGCAGTTCCTGTAAATATTATGGCAAGTAAGGGATAATTTAATAACAACTTCCAGAATCGAAATGGAATAAAGTTTTTATAATTTTATTACATAGATCTAGTGAGTAAATTGGTAAGTAAGAGAAGAATAATCTTCAAAAAACTCCAAAATATTAAAACTACAAGTCAATAAACTTCTGGACTATTGAGTCAATAAACTTCTGGACTATTGAGTGTAAATCCTTTTTGATTCTTCTCTCCCAGTTTTTTATTTGATCAATTGTGGAAATTATTTTCTCATTTCTGATTCAATGAAAAAGAATTTGCATCTAAGCAAGTGAAGTTTATTTTGTCATCTAACAAAGAAGACACAAATCGAACAAAAATGAAGAAGAGTCAAATTGGACAATCAAAAAACATACTACTAATTAGTGCCAACATAATACACTGATGCACTGTACAAAATGAGCTTTAAATACATATATTCAAGTAAAAGCTCATAAATCTCGAAACTTCATCAAAAGTACTTGTGGTTGTGCTACAATAGGAAAGGAAAAACTATTAATGGAAGAACGCATTCAATTTCAAGTGTAGCGTCGCTGAAATTGCATCAAAAATTGAGTTTGACCATATATGCTTGTTTACGATTCAGAAAAGTCACTGATTGCAAAAAAGAGTTTAAAGCAATTTCTGACTAAAATCCAAAATAAGTTATCAAGAATATGTTTGGTTGCATTTAACGAGGAAAAATCGTTGCACATACATCTCTTTAACAAAGATGGGTAATCGTAGTTTAATCAGCGTGAACGTACTAAGTTGAATTTACAAGCAAGCTCTGATAATTTGACAACGTATAAAAAAATTGAACTCATATTACAACATTATTAATTCTTATAGACAAAAACTTCATTAACTTCAAAAAGTATTTATTGAATGCAAAAATTTAAAAAAAAAAAGAACATAGTATATACGTTTTTTCTATATTACTCATTTTTACATTGTCATTCCTGTTGCTATTTCAATTTATACTCATGATGTCAAAACAGAGCAGTGAAAATCACAGGAAAATTGAACACAGCTAATAACTTTTTTCCCTCAAATTTAGAATTTGAATTCAATTTATACTAGTTTTTTACTAAAATTTAAGCCAAAAATTAGTTTAAAATGATGATTACTAAAATTTAAGCCAAAAATTAGTTTAAAATGATGATGTGAGATAAAAAGAAGCAACCTTTACTATTATTCTACAAAAAAAGCAGCAGCAAAATGAAAACTAAAAGTATTCACTTAAGAGTGAATATTAGTTCGTGATTCACACTTAACGACACTTAGCAAAACACAGTCTATTATTTTGCTTCTTAAATTTAAAGAGTACTAGAAGCGTTTATTTTTGTCATTATTTCAATGCTTTACTTTTGATAACAATGCTTCTCGCAAAAAGCTTCCAATAAAGCTTATCGTACTAATTTATTTGAGCTTATCGTACAAAGTTGTATACATGCTCGTCAAGTAAAAAGATTTCCGTAATTTTAAATTCACGATACTAAAATAATTATTTTTTAAAGTTATTTGATATTATACTTACAATAGTAGACTTTCGGGTTTTTACTAATTAAATATAAACTCTTTTCATAAAAACACTTCACTAAAAACTTCATAAAAATCTTTCTAACGCATGTTTGTATAGAATAAAGTACAGCTGAAAAGAAATAATAAATTTGACAAATTATGGAAAAAAGCTTGAAACGAATATTTAATAGAATAAGCGAAAAAATATATGACAAAATGAGTAAAAATTTTCGGCTCATTCGCAATTCTGCATGTAAAGTAGCTTCCATGCTATCAAAATTAAAACGTATTTCGCGCGCTTTTTAAACTTGAAATATTTAATAGGGTAGCAAAAATAACAAATTCAGAAAAATGGATGCTTAATTAATATCTTTCACTTTATCTCATCAAGTATGTTAAAATTAAAGAGAAAATTCATAAGTCATCTTCATTTTACTATTACTAGATTGAACTTTTCCCAATTTTTTTCATATTCTTTTTAATATTGAAACAGATGCAGTAGATGAAGAAAAGTGGCTAAAAATAATTATGGCACACAGAAGTGTACGCTGCCAAGCATTACAACTAAACGAATTCAGGAATAGAAAATTCACCTATTATTACAGAACAACATTAAGACAAACAGATAAAATTAAATTGGTATTAAAAAATACATATGAGATCGATCGACCGTGAATTTGCTTCTTCCGATGTGATTGCAACAATTTAAAAAAAAGAAAGTGGAGGAAGTCTGCACACTTACAATAGACTTGACACTGTCTTCGTTCACATTAAATTAAGGTTAAACAGAAACAATTTTTCCCGTAATAACACTAATGCGATAACAAAATCGCATTAAAATATAAACAAATGATGCATATACACTACAAGACTTTGCAAACTCTAAAACTCATCCTTCATTACCTTACGCTCAAGAAGTTTGAATTAATGAAGCTTTCACTGTATATATATTTAATAGGGTAGAAAAAATAACAAATTCAGAACAATGGATGCTTAATTAATACCTTTCACTTTATCTCATCAAGTATGTTAAAATTAAAGAGAAAATTCATAAGTCATATTCGTCTTACTATTACTAGACTGAACTTTTTTTTTGAAGTTTGAATTAATGAAGCAAAACGACATTCTGTCTTCACTGATATATATATCGTTCAATAACCCAAGTTATATATAGGTTTAATAACTCAAGTTTGAGGTAATTGTGCACAAAAGATTGTGCCTGTTATTGGACGAGGTACAACATTTTCTAGGAATTTCTGTTTCCATTCTTTTCTCTGCTCTACTTCCGTCTGTTATGGCGATGTTATGGTGCGAAGATGAAAGTGAATGGCGGAAATACCAGTGCAAGCAGTTGCGACCACAATCGTAATGGTATCGACAGCCAAGGACGCCAGAACATGGGTATGGTAGCAGTGCGAGAGAACATTCCAGCAGACTAAGTAGAACAGTTAACTAATGGCTGGGAACGAGTCTCTGAAGGACCTTCCACATCACAGTCGACTTCTGGGAGGCGAAAAGGAATAACAGACTATAACGATAATGCTCATGCCAACTCTTGTTGCAGTACTTCTCAAGCAATAAGAACAAAACAAGGGAAGAAAGTGAAGATGAACATGCATGGAACGAATGTAGCTGAAAAAAAGCCAGTTGCGAAACGAGATGGAAACCGAAAGAAGAAAGCTCTGTGGTCGTACAGTCAGGATATCAGAAGTCCGGAAAAGAAATGGAGGATGAACGGAAAAAAACTGCATCTGGAATCATAGTGGAAAACAACGGGAAAGCAGCTGAGGTTGCGAAAAGCTCCTTGAAAGGTGTAGGAGAGTACTCTGCCAGCTTACTAGAACCAAAATCAGTAGGATGATTACACTTGAAGTTATCATTCGAGGAACCGAGGTTCCGCAAAGCAGTAGGCCACGTGAAGTGCTGAAGTTCTTGACCGTTTCGGGATGATGCCGAGAGGAAGGTGGCCCTAGTGTTGTTCCCTGTATTGGAGAAGTTTGTGTGCGCGATTAACCTTGAAGAACGGAAGAAAAAAGCGAATGCTGCAATCATCAGTATTGAAGAAGTTCGCGAAACGTCTCAAAGCAGAAGATACGTACTTCGAGCAAAACATGCTGCACGAGTCTAAGGTTTATCTGGATGTAAAAGAGAAATATTTAGTGCTGAAGCAAAAAGCACAAGGACGTGAGATAGACAGGACAAAGTGGACGCGAAAAGTAATCTTTGAGCACCTCTCAACACCTCTCCTGGCCACTTGGTTCGTAGGGTTTCAATTCTACGGACGATTACGTAATCATTCTGCAAAGATGCTGGCACCGGATCTCGGTACACTGGCAGTATGTTCTTTTATACCCTTCACATAGCTTTTTCCAACCGCATCTGTTTTTGCACTGTTATCCATTCATGATTCCAGATGCGAACTTTTTCCTTTTAGCCTCCATTTTATGTTCGTTGAATTAAAGCCGTTCAGAGCCATCTTCACGTATATATATATATATATATATATATATATATATATATATATATAT